GAGAAAGTATGCTCCAGTGCTCCTGTACTGACACAACAAATGTAAAAGTATCATCATAGATGGCTGAGAATTGTGATCAACGACCGGGTCTCGCATTGGCTGGCAGGTTGACGACTTCGTCGCCCGCCGGGACAGTATTTGGGTGTGTCTCCTTTGATCGCATCAGGGACAAACTGCAAATGGTTAGTTAGTTGTGTGTTCTTTACAGGTCGTTGCAGAGCCAGCCTCAGTCTTTTGGCCAGTTGTGGTTTTTCTAGACAGATCTGACATTCAGTAGTTTGCCATTGCTGACTAAACGGATGGCACTCGATACCACTGTCGAAAGTAGTGCAAGACGATCTGCTACCAAATCGCCAGTAGCAGGAATCGAATCCAGCACCTCTGCATCACGATGTCCTTAGTTCGGTAAAGCGTGTGTTTTTTTAACCCCCCCCCCCTCCCCCCTCACTTCTTCTTTTTCCACTCCACACACACACACACACACACACACACAGACACACACATCATGTCAGACATAGAAGCACTAGTGAAAATACAGATTATGGGCCGCAGAAGACAATAATCTACGCCAAATGGTCTTTCCCTGTAAAGAGTGGCAAACAAAGAAAGACAATAATCTACGTCAAGGGGTCTTTCACTGTGAAGAGAGGCAAACACAGAAAGACAATAATAGAAGAGAGGCAAACAAAGAAAGACAATAATCTACGTCAAGGGGTCTTTTTTTGTGAAGAGAGGCAAACAAAGAAAGACAATAATCTACGTCAAGGGGTCTTTCACTGTAAAGAGTGGCAAACACAGAAAAATAATCATCTTTTTTACCAGATCTTTTACCTACAAACAAATATACTAATACCGGATAAACAACAAAGCGGGGCTAAAGGGGAAAGACACAGAAGACAAACAACATGACCAACAGACCAGACCCAGACACGCAGGAAGGGACCCCACAATAGACAAGCAGGGACACTAAGGCACCGAATATTGACAAAATACCAATATTAGCCAATTAAAGTGACGCTAAAAAGTCACAATTATAACAAAAAGCTGATCGAGAGACAGACACAGAAAGAGTAAGAGAGGGACATGGAGAAAAAAATGAAAGAAAGAAATAGAGAGAAAAAGAGAGAGAGAGAGAGAGACAAGAAAGAGAGAGAGAGAGATAAAGAGAGAGAGAGAGAGAGAGAGAGAGAGAGAGAGAGAGATAAAGAGAGAGAAAAAGCTTCAGTGAGATATCCAGTGGTTTGGCAAACGTGACCAGACATCGAAAACAGTAGCTTAAAGCGTCCGGTAAATGGCCTAAATGAACCTATATTAAATAGAGGAATGTCCTGCAAAATGCTCGTCCTGTTTCCGAAGTGTGTAGGTTCTAATCCACGGATTCGTTTGTCTTCAAAAATGACCTTGGTTAGTTTCAAATCCGTGAAACTAAAAAAAAAAAATCATTCTGGCTCCCATGTCGACCTTGTTTAAAATGGGTATTAGGAAAAGTCTTGGCAGGTAAAGTTAGCCGACGTGTTGTTGACCACATCAGACACCAAATGTCGATTGGTCTATAAAATATAATAAAACCCGATATGCCCAATACATATCAGGGCATGAAAAGTGGTTCTTCACTTCTGTTTGTAAAAGATTCAACTATTATTGACAAACTTAAATTCGTTACCAAAAGTTGCAGTGGATACAAATGAATATTAAATAATAGACATTTGTCTTCGTTTAGACCAGATCTCCCCGAACATGTTATGTTAGTGACACACCGCATGGTGTTCATCATCCAGTACCACATTAAAGGAGTTGGAGAAAATGCAAAACCAAGTCATCACAGGAGGAATGCAATCGAACCCCAATATTAGAAATAGAGAAAGTTGGGAAAACGCAGGCACTGAGAAAACGCAATAAAAAGTTCCTTGGTATGCCAGATCACCTCTTGAAGAATAGATTTCAGAACCTAGCAGTGGGACTGTTGAAAAGAAGCAGCTTTATACACCAAATATAAAAGGTATGCAGACAAACTACTGACCTTCCTGGTCACAAAAATGCAAACTAACAGTACAAATCCAGAAAAATGTCAAAGGAATATCTGGCAAGAAATAGCAAGATAGTCATCGCAGAATAGCTACACTAAGCTATATCGACGAAGAATACCCACAAGAACAATGTGTCCGAGTCTATACTGATGGGTCCGCACAAAGTGCAGTTAGAAATGAAGTGTAGATAACATTCACAGGTGATACTAGGGATAAGTCCCCTGTGCCAAACATGAAGTACTGCCATAATTACGAAGTAGAAACCCCGACTATCAAGATAGCAGCAGAGACACTGTTAAATACCTACCTTTGCTCACAGCCTATGGTGATGATGACAGATGCAAAATCGTACTTGAAGATCTCCGGTGAATCTACTAGAGTTACTAACACTGACTACACAAGACGGCTGTTAGCGTAGAGCGTTCTATTGTGGAGTGTCTAGAAATGAGAAAGCCGATCAACTAGCAGAGAAA